CCTGGGGACGGGCGGGGGCCGCGGCGCGACGCCTGCCGCGCACCCCCCTTTGAAGCGGGCGCGCGTCGGCAGCTCTGGCGCGTCGAAGACGCCGCCGCCCGCGCCGGCACCCCTCCGAAAGCCGCCCCCAGCCCAGGTGAAACGGGCGCGTCCGGACCTGTCCCCCCTCTCACGGCCCGCGGGCGGCCCGGCCACGCCTGCGTCGGCATCGGCGCCGGCGCCGGCGGCACGGAGCGCCGCGGCGCCTCGCAGCCGCGCGGACGAGGCGCCGGAGGGCCGTCCTGCAGGCGGGGCGGGGGCGGCGGCCGCCGAGGCGGGCGCGGTGACTACCGATGACGTTACCGGGACACTGTTCAGAACAGACCAGGCGGGGGCGGCATCAAACCCCTTCAGCCGGGGGTTCTACGAGCGCTACGGGCCCAGGATAAAGCAGGTGTGCAAGGACAGGCGCGTGGGGTGCTGGTACTACTGCCACTCGCGCCTGCTGCATGGCGGCGACGGGGACGCAGGCGGCAGCGGGGACGCGGGCGGCAGCCCAGCGGAGAGCAGCGGCGGCGGCGCGGGCGAAAGGGAGGATGAACAGGAGGAGGAGGAGGAGGAGGGCGGGGAGGAGGAGGGCCCGCGGCCGGGAGAGCGGATGGTCCTGTTCCGCGGGACCGTGCTGGCCGTGTCCCGCGCGCCGCGCGTGGACGCGGTCGGCGACTGTTTCGTGAAGGCACAGATCGAGTGGGACCCCGCAGTGTCCCGGGACGGCGGCGGCGGCGGCGCCCCTGGTGACGCCACCGCTGCTGGGAGTGATGCCGCCGGCGGCGGCCACAGCCCTCGTTGGGGCGGCGCACGGGCGCGCGGCAGGCGGGCGCAGCGGCGGCGGGTTGGCGTAGAGGAGGGGGAGGTTGTAAGGGGTTGGCCCCGGGAGTGGGTGGTGCTGTATGAAGTGAAGCATGGGGTGAGGACGGCGTTGGGGCCGGGGTGGCAGCTGCTCTGACGCGCGGCTGCAGGCGGTGCGCATCCTAATGGATAGCTTGCCTTCCTGAAACTGACAAGCATGCACTGCTCGGCTGCTGTATTCAATTGAACCTGTCCTGCGGCCACCCTCGGTACAAACATTTATGGTGTGCCTGTCTTGCCCTTTGTGACTGTGATCACTTGCTGATCACAATGGTTCAGTGTGGCATCAGTGTTGCAGCTTGATTGTTTGCAAAGACTGATTCGGAAGCGCAGGCTCTTGATTCTCAAATGTTGAATCTATCCCCTCCACCCAGACCTTGGCCCATCGCTGCAGCAGCAGCGACGGGCCCAAGAAGAATCACCGCTGCATCAATTACCATTTTTGAAGATGCCTGCATTGCAATGTGTGCTTTGACCACACAACTGCACGCTTCGCACCCCTGCGACGCCGGCTCCTGCGCCGCCCCTGCGGGTGGATCGTCCCCTGTGCAATTCTTGAAGGTTCACGCGACGTTGGTGGCCAGAGGGGCGCGAGCTCGGGCAGTAGCCTGCGCGACACGCCCCCTGCAGCGGCCGCAGGAGCAGCCGCCCAACGGAGCGCCCGTCAGGCTCGGGAGGGAGCCCCCACGTACGTGCGCCCTTGCGTCTTTTTTGAAACCGGCCCCTCCCCGGACCCGCGACGCGGGCGCCTCACAGCTCCTCTCGCCGCTCCGAGGGCGGCGCCGAGCCACTGGCAGGCGCTTGGGCGTTGGTTTCTTGCTGGGCGGCGGGGCCGCTGGTGTACTCGGGGTAGGTGGCTTTGTAGCCCAGGAGGCGGGCGGCGTGAGGCAGGACCTGGGGAGGGGAGGCAAGGGGGTAGGGGGTGCGTGGGTGGTTGGTAGGGTGGTTGATTGGAAGGATGCAGCAGGAATGAGGCGCGCATGGGTGGTCGTGGTAGTGTCTCAGTGTGTGTATGTGAGTGCGTGCGCGCGTCCATGTGTGTGCGTGTGTGCCTGCATGCGCACATGTGCGTGCGTGTGTTATACAGTCATGACAGAGAAAGAGGAGATAGCACTTGCGTGTAGGTTGTCAAACAGACACCGGCGGGCGCAGGAATGGCGGGGACCTGCAGCTGGCAGCACGCACGCGCAAGCGCCGCCCGCGCTACACCGGCAGCGGAGCACACGCGGCAGGCTGAAGAGCGCGGCACCCCCGAGCACCCACTTGTTCGGAGGCGAAGGCGAAGGGCTTGCTCTGGCCCCGCATGCGCACGCCGGCCTCCGCCAGTAGCAGCACCATCTGCGGCGCGCACAACAGGGTGGGGTTGAGCAAATAGTTGCATGTTCGGCACTGGGTTGAAAATCCAGCTGCGTCATTGCATGCAAACAGTGGGCCACGCGAGCACCCGGCTGGTCAACCCCAGGGCCAAATGCAATCAGCAATTAAGCATCCGGGAAAAAATGCACAGCGGCATGGGCGACTGCAGTCGTGGAGCGCGACCGGGGGGCCAGGGGGTTTGCAGGGGCGGGGC